TAGGGTAGCAAAATTCAGCTGAACTAGCTCTGGTATAGGCTAAGGGCTCTAGGGACCCAGCGGCACATCCCCACCCAGAAATTCCCAGAGTACCCCCCCCCCCGGGGTTTGGAATAAGAAGATTACCGCTAGCTAAGACGTGGGATCAAATTCAGACCTCTTGCTTTCCACGTTATATGGTTTAAATTTTGCTCCTAGAGATTCTTCATATCTCCTTAATTTTTGCATTTCTTTAGAAACTGGAGCTCCATCACACTGTTTTCCATTTCAATTGATTTCCACTAAATTGCGTGCGACTGAACACGATCGCCAGATCCGATCGTCTGAATATCAAAATATGGTCGTTCCGAATGCGCGCTTAAACATATTTTCAAACGACTTAAGCGATCGGGGCGAATTATACGAAATCCACGCTCAAGTTAAGTTCCCTTTTCTGATGCTTTCATTTTGTCTAAACGAAATTTGAATAACAACCCTTTATTGAGAAACATGTCTACAACTTTTCACTCTGATGAAGGTGGGCAGATGCCACCGAAAATTCAGTAAACAAAAATCTACAGATCGGATTGTTTAAGTCAAATAATTAATGTGTGTCTACCGATCGCAACAATCCAAGTATGTCTAAAACTCTTAACTCTTTTTAATTATATGTTTCCAGAGCCGACTTGGTTACCTCAGATTATATTCTCCTTTAAGATTTTTTTGGGTAATCACGCGCTTCAAGCCGTGTTTTGAAGTTGGACATGGTTTAATCGAAAATTTTTATTGCGGAGTTTTTGGTAGTAGAAGTCTGAGAGCAAGAGTCTCCTAGCTTTTATGGAACTTTTTTTTTTAAACAGCTGGTGGGCGAAAAGAGAAATAGCGTTTATATCGAAAGGCATAGGTCTGCTTGTAGTAAAGGATAACATCCTTTTTGGGATCATTCTACTTTGCATTCTACGGTATTCATACCCCGCACAGCAATGTGATTTTTCTCTCTCGGGAACTTTAGCTGTAAATTTTACAGTAGTATGGAATTTGTAAGCTTGTTCTATGAACCGATCAATGCATTTTTCGTTGACATCCCACAGAGAGAAAACGTATCTCGAGGAAGTAATGTTCAGGACATACTCTCCGTGACTTGATTTTACTTTGACTAAGCGCGTTTTCTTCAATTTTTGCCATGAATTTGTTGTCAGAAGCGACCACCATTTAAGTTTCCATAGCTGTTCCATGAATTTGGAGACAAGCATTTCTTTGAGGTAGACAGGCGGGATGGGAGGGTTGTTGTTGAGGTATCGCAAATGCGGTTCTTCCCTGTTCTCGTGGAAGGTATGTTTACAAGCTTGTTCTGTTACATCAATGGATAACGAAAAAGTATCACGCGAAACTTTAGTTTCTTCTATAAAAGCCTATAAAGTTGATGAAATCAGTTGTATCTTTGAATTGAGTTACGATTTCTGTCTCTCATACGTTTCTTCGGGCATTCGGGAGTTTTATTGCTGGTTTTGTTCTTGATGTGTCTTCTTCTTCGTTGTATCGTTTTACGGCTCGTTCAACTTTTACGAACCTTCGTTTATTCCAAATTCATCGGTTAAACAGCCCGCGTTGGAACTGAAATGGAGGTAGGTTTCGCCAACATATTCATGGTAGAAATCGAAACCAAAATGCTTTGCCAAAGCAGAAAAAAGCGGCTATATTAAGTGGACATCTTGCACATCTCAGTGGAATGTCAACAAAGAGACATTGGTCAATGCATAAACACATTCCCTCGTGTTCGGCTGATATTTTTGAGAGAAAGAAACCGCATTTCTAGACACGTGACAGTACTGTACATTGAATTAGGCAGAAAGGATCCCAAAATAATGCACCCTTAACGTAAAAATTCAGTACACTACAAGCAGGTCGATACGTTCAAGTTTCAATGTAGGCGACACTAGGCTTCTTGTCACCCACCAGCCGTTAGACAAGTATACGTAGGCCTGTGAAGAAACTTTTCAATTTGACGCACTCATTTCTGAGAAATCATCACTTCCTTGTTATCTGGCTTTAAACACTTAGAAACCCCAGAGTCCTGCTCTGTTGATGCCTTTCTTAGAATCCGTCACCAAGGAAGTTGTTTAACCTTCCGGCGCGACGCGTTTCAGCTTTAGAGCAGATAGATGATAACAACTTGGGTATAAAGTTCAACCTTATATACATAGCCAAAACGACTTCAAACAACATATCAGTTAAAACTCTGACAAAAAGGCGAGAAAACGTCGAACAGATGCAGCGACTGAACAGTTTTGGATGCTCCTAGTCCATTGTATGTTTGTAAGAGATTTTTAAGACCTCCTATTATGTTTAGCTAGGAAAAACGACGAGTCATTTTAATACAAACATCTTCATACCATCACTTACGGGTTTAACGCTTTCTTAGGTGCTGCGCGCCCCTCTAACATTCGTATGAGTCACATTTGTTTAAGACACCATTCCAAACAATGATTCGTGAGACTGAATTCGGAAGAAAATGCAAGGACAAAAGCGGTTTAATAAAAGATAAAGCGTTTTCGGAGTTTGCAAGAGATTATGAACTCTCTCATCGATAAATATCAATGAATAAATTAATGATCCGTCAAACAAAAGTGACGTACAACCTTTTAATCTTTATCACGACATACAGCGAGCATGTATCACGTATGTTCAGGGATATCTTGACCAGCGTGGAAAAATTTTCAAACTTTCAATTTTAGTCTTAAAAGTATGAATGTATTACTCGGTTTACCTTTTCGAGTCGCAACTTGACCAGTTTCAAGATAACAGATTTCGTTATCCCAGCAAACATCGGCGACAGCATACCGTAGATCCGATTCGCTTCCATTTGTAGATACAGCACCAAACCGACTGTTTTTCCATAACTGGCGGAAGAGCGGGAAAAATTTGCTTTCATTTATTCCATTTATAACTGTACTGTCGCTTGCAGTCCACACTTGCGGCGTGGGATGTATATGAAATACATCTCGACTTCCAGTAAAAGAATAAACAGCTGCTGAGGTCTCGAAAAGACGAACAATTACCAGCCAAATAGACAAAAGAGGCATCGAATCGAAAGAATCAATGAACGTGTAAAGAAGAAGCCCTGTTCGCCTTTGCTTTCGCTCTAGCTTTCATTTATAGGTTAGAGACCTCATACAACTTTCGCTGTAATACGATCATTAATACAATAGTTTCCCCCTCCCACCCACCGTCCTTTCCTTTTGGTAACGGGGTTAGTCACATGTTATTACGGAGGTAAAAAAGAAACCAATCAAATTCACAGTTGCCAAGCATGTCACCTTGTATTTCAAACAAAGATAATTCCAACACTGCCAATCAATTAAACATTGTGGGCACTCACTCTTTAATCGTCGATCAGAGCGACAGCGCATGAACAGTGGCACATGCTACCATAGAAACATTCGCACTAAATTGTGTGCTCAGAGTTGTTAACGGTTATAGTTAGAATGTTTAGTTTAAACAAGAAACTGTGCTTGTTTTCATGAACTAGACAAATTTCCATTCACCCTTCAGTGTCATCAGTAATCTCAAAAAGGAAATGTCACCTTTCACTTAATTAATGACGTACCAATAAACCAATTCCAATCACGTGCCGATAAACACCAAGTAACTTAAATCCGCGTCGGACGACTTAAATATTTGTGCCTATAAAGTTATAAACGGTTTCTACCTGAGTCTCTTGTTAAAATGGTTTCGGTTAAGATCACAGTTCTATTGGCTTTGCTGATCTTTGTTCATCAGAGTGACGCTTGGCGAAGACGTCGCCGTCGCAGATGTCCAGTGCGAGATTGTCAAGTCAGTTCTTGGACGGCTTGGAGTTCGTGCAGCGAATCGCAATGCGGACGACAAGGATCACAAAGCAGATCAAGATGGAGAAAATCATCCCCATCCTGTGGTGGAGCACAGTGCCCTGACTTGTATGAAACACGCTCTTGTTACGCAAGTACGCCAGTTGACTGTGAACTAAGCTCGTGGTCGGAGTGGAGTGCCTGCACCACTCCTTGTGGCGTGTCAGGAACACAGCACAGCGCTCGTCATAGGTTGGTGACCGAGCAATGTGGAGGAACATGCACTTCTACATTTCGTAAAACACGAGCCTGTTCAGACCTCAGCTGTTTGAACGGAGGAAGTTTAAAAGATGGTTCATGTCTGTGCAAGGAAGGATATTCTGGATATTGCTGCGAGAAAGGAGAAGATAAAGGTGAGTGATTTATTCGAAATGTTTATTTTGCTGCCCCTGACTACCTTACTGTTGAAATAAACACTCTTAGTACAAATGACGTAGTTCAACACCGGAAAACGCACTCTTTTCGATCGATCGCTTTCCTATGCGATGGGAAGATGAAAACACTATTTCATTTGTATTAACATTTCTTCTAGTTTACTTTTTCTACGAAACGTCTTGAGTTTGTATCGAATTGCCGGACTTCAGTTTGTATCGAATCCCCGTTAGATGCATATCGAATCCACATCGATTTGTATTGTATCGACTTGTATCGAAGCGACCGTATACCTTGCTAGGAAATGAGTTTAAAATTTCAAAAAATAACACTACCAAAAGGTATTTAAGCTGGTTCCTTACTCCCACTCGTGCTTTTCTATACTAGAGAAGATGAACTGCCAGTTGAGCCCCTGGTCTGAGTGGGGTTCTTGTACCACTCCGTGTGGCGTCTCTGGAACACAGACCAGCTCTCGTCACAGGACAGTTATGGAGCAGTATGGCGGAACATGCGCGTCTACTTTTCAAAAGACGCGAGCGTGTCTGAAACAGTTGAGCTGCATGAACGGAGGAACTTTGCAGTATGGAACGTGTTCTTGTAAGGAAGGTTATTCTGGGCATTGCTGCGAAGTAGGTAAGTAAACAGAATAGATATGACTGGATTTATGAAACGAGTGCCAAGTTACTGATAGGTGAATTCCTTTGCACAAAAAGAGCTACACACTTTGATTTTCCAACTTCTGAAGGCCTTAACATCACTCCAAGCGATAAAAAAACTAGAATAGCGATCAAAGTGGTTTAGAGCCACTGAACTTGGAAAATAAATTATTAAAGGGATATAATGAGGCATTTGCTCATTAAGAAACTACTTGTGATGTGAGGGCAGTCTAGCTTTCGAACAAACCCATAAAGCCTTTTTCCATTGAAGAGTGTGTTGTGATATTTGCAAAATGAAACAGTTCAAACAGTTCAAACTATTTGTTACTAAGGTCTGCTTACACGGTTTACATTACATGCATCTGTACACGTCTTCCCAGTGCTGTGGTTAAAAACAGCAAGATCATTTTGTTTGGTCAAAAGTGATGTACAGACTGTGAGTGATGTCCAATTCTTGTTTATAGCCTTTAGTTCGTGCTTCGCACAAACCACAATTGCAGAAAATGTTACTAGGTCAAAGTATTGTCAGCCAAGAACCTCAGACTATCCTATTTGTGCTTTTCGGAAACATGCCGGACCTGTTTCTGGGCTCATCTACCAGGAGCTTGCCATTTTCTCGCATTTTCTTGCCATAAGACTTTGTTTGGTTTGCCTTGTTTGCCTTGTGGCCCTTCGGTGGTTGCACCACAACCTGAATCTTTGATTCGCTAAACCGCTGATGTATCACAGTACTATTGTGCTGTTTGGATGGATTATTGCTCCCCAGGCATCTCATCGAATGCATGACAAAGAATCCACAAACACGCAATGATCTTCTTCGCACAACAACACTAGTCTACTAGGATGTGGATGAAAAACAAAACTATTTCTCTTGGAAATCGCGCGATTTTTCGTACTTTTGGGATTTAGTTAGCAAATTTAGATAGGCTGTAACTTAAGTCTTCCTTGCGTGATCCATATGAAGATAATTCTCCATGTATGGAATTTAATAAGGTTTAAGACAGTCACAAATTGATTAGCATAGCTTTGCTTGCTTTAATTTTTTGTCAAAAACTGTCGATCCAAAACATTTTGTCCAGCGTACTATACATTTTCTGTTTGATCCCGAAGATGACAACTAGATAAATCTACACAATAGATCATAAAAAAAAAAAAACTGGCTGCAAGCGACCCACTTTAAGATCAATCAATAATTTGTTTTTAGTTTTGATTTCAATCTCTTTTATTGAATCTTACGTTGGGCACTGAAAAGGTCCGATAGCCTGTCCACTTCAATGAACAGGCGGTTCCCATTAGATTTTGAATTTCTGGATTTTATAATTACCGCGCCCAGTTGATCAAAGAATAACGATACCTGACCTAATGGTCTTCTGCGCAGGAGTAGATACTGGATTGATGCCTGAGAATTTTTGTGTCAGTTTTGCTTGCTTCTAGCTTTTACAATCAATTGGCCACCTGATATTATTTTTCTACTCCAAAGTTTTAACATCCTCTGTTTTGATTGGTTTTATAATTTTCTCTATTTCTTCTTCTGTGGCTAATAAAACGATTTTTAGAAAAAGGAAAACATAGGGTCAACGGCTTAGTTTTTAAGATAGATGCAATTAATGGTAAAAAGTGGGTCAAGTTTGTCGCTATGCAACAGAACGGTGCAACCTTAATGTATGACTTAAATACAATGAAAGGTAAAGTGCAGAGTTACCTTAAAAAATAGCACAGCCATTCAAAACAGTACCGATTCCAAGCCTGAAAAATCGCACTTAGTTCTATAAGCCTCAAAAAAAAAAAAAAAAAATTAACAAATAAAATAAAAAACAGAAAACTGCTTTGAACCACCTTTAACAGGTTGTTGTCGTTGATGCCCGTTCGTCCCTATGATCTTATTGGCGCCGTCATTGTCCTTCTCAAGACGAGCGTTGAAATCTCGGATCACATACAGCCCATCATGTGACAGCACCTTTTGAATGGCTTTGCTTGCACTCTTAGATTTACAATACCGGAAGAAATAGTCTTACAGAAAAGGTTTTATTAACTGTCGGGTTCTGCGAAACTCAACACGACAGATTTATGACAGAGGTTGTATGTGCACGCTTTAACAGGGAACACGAGGGCATGTTACACAAAGTACTAGTTGCTAATTTCTCAGCTATTGTGAATCCAAGCCAAACTCAAAATTGTACTCTTAATACCAGTCATACAGGGATGCCTTCCAGCAAAAGTTAGATCAAAAGGTGTAATATTGAAGCCCTACAAATTATTTAATTAGTTTTGTAATTTGTTTATTTTATATCTAATTGCTTGTGTAATTATTTATTTCTTATTTAGATGAACACTGGATAAATACCCATTGACAGTACTTTTTCTTTTCTGCAGGCCCTTTAAAACATTGGTTTTGGAAGATTTTTCCGCCTTGTATGGCAGTAATCTTCGTCGTTGTACTGTGCATGATATATCGTAAGTGCAAGAACAATAATGTAGGCCCTAGCGGTTAATAATAATGGCACACTGTAACCTTTTCACAAGCATGTCAATGGTCCAAAGAAGCAAAATAACGCCCCGTCCACACTATTATGTTTTGATTTGAAAACGTATACATTTTGATGCATTTTTGCCTACCGTCCATCGTCATCATCGCCGGGAAACGAATGCAGAGTGGAGACAATGAAATTTGAAGTTCAAGTTTCTTTATTCACACACAACAACAATAATAACAACAACAAAATATATAGATTATACAGCGATTTGGAACGGAGCCCTATCGAATAAGTATTGACAGTGGAAACGTAGGCATTCGTAAACGCTGACGCCATTCATGTCATGTGTACGTGTGCAAATGACGATTGTGGTGTTTTCTCGTAGTATATCATCGTTATCGAGCCTCTTAGTGTGGACGGGGAAAACGCTACGAAAACGTTTGGACGGACTGAGAGCGTATTTGGCGACGACGCGTAATCGAAAACATATATATCAACTGGTGTCGATCGGACGACGTCTAATATCTGTTTCTTAGCATAAATCTACTAGCGTTCTATCAGGAATGCCGCTCTCTGATTGGCTACGCTACTCACTATCTATTCTGTGATAGACAGTGAGTAGCATAGCAGTGTGCGCTTGTTAACAAAATGACGGCCGCTCCTGGGCGTTTTCGAAGGCTCTGTGAACGTTTTGTATGACTAGTAGATTTATGCTAAAAAATTAGATTATTCGCTCTCGATCTCTATGCGTGATAATTGACTCGGGCTTCATCCTCGTCAACTATCGCGCGATAGAAATCTCGAGCTCATAATCCAATTGTTTAGTAGACAGTGAGAGGCCTAGCAGTGTGCGGTTGTTAACAAAATTGCGTTTTCAAAGTGTCTGATTTGGACAAAGTTTTGAACGGCTGGTAGATCTATGCTACAACGATAAGATTTTTCATCCTCGATTTATATTTGTGACAGAAATCTCGAGCTCATGATGAATTGTTAGATATTCACACAGCCATGATAATGAATGACAATCTTCTAAATAATTAAAGGTGGATCCGGGGGGACCACCATATGACAAGGTCGGGGATACTCGTAGGAAAATTTGAATTAAACCGTTAAAGGAGAACAATCTGGCTCGAGCTTTACTTGACCCCTAAAAGATACTACTTAACACCAAATATACTCGATTACTAGTCATTGTTCCAGATAGGAGCCCGCACTAGTAGACCGGACTTGAGAGAACAACGGAAATCGAGCCCGGAAACGGAAATAAGAGCATTTTTATCATTATTTCTTTAAATGCATCCTAAAATATACTTAAACAGCTAAAATAGTGATGTTTCGTCATGAACAGCCTATAAGTGAGACCAGAATCTTTGATCATAATACCCCTCAGCGAGACGACGAGCATCCCCAACCCTCCTCCCCCCGTCCGGTGGTGGATCTCAAGATTTAGACTGAACCGGAGGTCAGTAGTCATGTGGTTCATAGTGGCACATTCTGCCATGTGCTTGACGTGTCATTGGCTGTCGATGTAGACAGTAGACATAGTATCTTGATGTACATATGAATGTCAATGCTTTGCAAGTCTTCGTTACCGGCTGAATTAGTGAAGATTGCGCTCTCCTAACTACGTTGTAGTTTTCTATTGGGTGAAAATGTCATTTAACTGAAGGACTACTGTTATGTCTCAGTTGAAGTAGAAGTTACTTTATCCAGGATTATCGCTAGTATTTCATTTTCCCAATGATTCTTGTTTCGATTTTTGGGGTTCATAGCGGAGCTTTATGTCAGATTTATGCCTTGTAAGCGAACAGGGTTTGTTATTTGACGGCTAGCACGTGGTGATTTGCACTGTGATTACAGAGTATTGAGATTCCTCTTCTCGTTTGTTCAATTCATTCGATTTCGAGAACATTTATTGGTGAATTTCTTAAAATGTTATTGTTTGGAGTAAAGAGTAGTATACATATTGGCCCACAGAGTGGTCTTACAACTCGCTGTACAAGAATTAATGGCGCTGGTGCGTAAGGGGTATACCGAGAAAAAAATTACGGTTTTCACGTTCTGATAGGTTATTTTAGAAGAAGAATTTTTGAAACTTAGCCTAACAGATATATTCCGTAGCCCAAAAACTGAAATGGTTTACATCATATTCACTCAATGAGAAAAGAAAAACAAACTCCATGTCGCCAATTGCTGATTGTTCTTGTGCTGTGTGGAAAATGTATGAGCGAATGGCTTTAAGTTATAATGCCGTCACCCAAAGTTATGGAGGACAGATGGACAGACATTGTCAGTCGTCTACGGCTCAACTCTCTTGCACACACGTAAACGGAGAGAGGGAAAGAGCAAGATTAAAATATTTGCGCCATCATCGATCAGAACGATTTGTTTTGTTTAAGTGAGCCTGTGCTTGAGTATTTTTTGCTCGGCGTTAAGTTTTAGCTAATCTGTAGTTCTTTTATGACTAGAAAGTACTTGTGCCACTTCTGTACACACATTCATTTATATATGGTAGTTGTAAACCGTAATAAAAATGTAAATATGTTTTTGACTGTAATTCTTACTGTCCCAAACGCATAGGCCGTGGTTTGTTGATGCTCTGAGTCTTCTTGAAATCAGTCAGCAAAGAGACCTTTTACCTCATGGCGAAACGGCATTAAATTTGGGGTATACCTTCACAGACTGAAGATTTTTCTTCAGGAAAGAACTGAGCTAACACGAGGTGATTAGCCAGAACGTAAATCTTAGATCTGGAAAGACTGTGAAAAGGTTATGTAAAAGAAAGTAGCTTCGGTCCGTTTGTACCGGAAAGCAATTTGGTCAATTCATCAATTGCTGAAAACCTACGTTAGAGGTGGACATGGGGGGCGGGGGGGCCTCCTGCCTCCTCCTCAAGCGCTTCAAGAAAAGTCGACGATTGTCACTGCAACTTATATTTTTAGCCCCATAATACGAACGTCTACACTTGACATAATACTTTTATACCTCAACAATTTTCCACAAAATAAACACATCACAACGTTTGTCATTGCCTATGACGCTATGGGTCGATAATGCTGATGCTTGTAAAGGGCAACAGAAAAAAAAAAAAAAACAGCTTCGGATTGGATTTTAAAACACAATGGTAATTGCCTGCTGCACGCATAAACGAAGTTCACATGCTACATTTAGGCCTGAGGAAGGTCAAACAAGAAATCACAGCACCGCAAACAATTCATTTCAGCGAATACTGCAGCGTGAAAAACACAAACATCGCACACCGTAGGGTTTGAGATCATCGCAACTCCGCAAGGTGGGACTTTATTCACCGCATAACCCCATAAGAAAAACAGTCAACACCGCGACACCGCAAAGCCCCATGTCCCCCTCACGTAACTATGATGGCGAAAGCAGAAGAAGGGAAAAGATGCATACCAAATTGCATTACGTGTAAGATAGAATACGACACTGATAAATGTATGTTTTCTCACTCTGCCTCAAATGTTGTCTCAAGCCAGAAATGCAACACCTAAATTATATTCGTTCGTGCTGTCGTCTTGTAAAAAGCATGGTAACCCTGCGGCCCATCTCCTCGAAGGGGGAGTACCCCTGTATAAAAAGGACGGAGGTGCTATTTGTACCTTTTAGGGGTTAAAAACGAGGGTTTTGGTAGCTCTGAGGGTGTTCAGCCTCATAAGGTCCACAGCGAGAGTTTTTGCAGTACCTT